CCATCTGCTGCATGAGAGTTGAAAGGTCCATTAACATTCTTTCTACCCCCTGTTCCACTATGTTCCCTGAGCATTAGGTGTAAAGGTTGCATTGTAGATGTGCCACTTAAGGCTGGGCCCTTCATAGGTACTTATTTTCTACATTTGATCAATTGTGGAGCTTTGTAATAGTCTCCATCTGTTGGAAAAAGAAGCTTCTTTGATGAGTGGTGAGAGGTCCACTTGTCTATAAGTATAAGGATATATTTAGAATACAGTAAGAAATCACATTGGTCTAGGAGTGTGACAAAAGCAGGTTTTCCCTACAGATTCAAATATGAGTGCACACATACATAATTCTTAGCATAGGTACTGAAAAGGGTATTTTTAAAACCACGTATTGTATTATTTCTTTTTTAGATAATTATTTTAGCAAGTTCCTAGTTTCAAATATAGAAGCAACCTACCACTTGGGAGGTAAAGGCAAGAGGATTGGAAGTTCAAGGTCATCCTCAGCTACAAAGTCAGGGATTATGCTAGGCACAGGAGACTGTTTCATATATATCCTACATATATATGGAGACAATTTTTTCTTAAGAGGATACCATATACTAATATTTTCAAGTGCCGATTTGCTGTTACTTAAGTCCACCAAGTCACAATTTTATACTGTATATACTACATCTTCAAATTTTCAATTTTACAAGGCATATTAACAAAGTTACTGGGAAAGCTGTGCTACCGCAACTGTAGAGTTTGCAGAGGGCTCACCATTCTGGCATGACACTGATCAAGGAAGTTTTCTTTAAGGAACAAATCTGCTTAAAACAACATGGGACTAGAACTAGTTTCAGCCATTCAAGATAAAGAAAGGCATAACTGAAACTCCCAATTGCCACTTAGTATGCTCTTTGTCATAGGATATAAAGTTTAAGCCCTGGACCAAACATGATGTCACACACCGTTAGTCCCAGCACTTTGGAGGCAGAGGCAGATGGGTCTCTGTGAGTTTGGGGCCAGCCAGGTCTACATAGCAAGTTCCAGGCCAGCCAAGGCTGTATAGTAAGACCCTGTCTTACTATAAAACAAATAAATAAAAATAAAGCACTACCCATAGAATAGTAAGCAGACATCCAAGACAGTCACAGCCTTCTACAGTTCAATGTTGCACTGTTTTCTAAATCCCCCAAAAATAAATCACCGGAGAATGATCTCCTTTCTAAAATCAAATCTTTCATACTTTTAAAAGCTGTGTAAAGGGGGATTCTTCTCTTTTTAAATATGTTCTAGAACTACACAAAAGTTGTATTTACAAATTAGTTCATAAAATTATTGTCTAGGTCTTTTACCAAAGAGATGTCTGAATGACTCAGAAAAAATGACATGGAACTGGTGGTCCCTTTCTCTCTACTTCACCAGAGGCTGGTTTGTTTTCAGAGTCTCTGCTTTCTGTAGATAAAATCATTAGTCTTTCGGTTAACCACTTTGGTGTGTGTGTATGTATGTATGTGTGTACACACACGCACATGCATGATGTATGGGATGTATGTACATGTAATGTCTGTGTACATTTGTGTGAGCTCCCACGCATGTACAGAGGCCAGAGGAGAATGCCAGGTGTCCTGATCTATTGCTTTCCGCCTTATTCTGTTGACACACATATCCCTAGACCTGAGACTAGGCTGGTGGCTAACAAGCCCCAACATCCTCTTGCCTCTCACCCACCTCCCCACAATACAATGGAGTTATAGGCATGCAAATGACCAAATGAGTATTTTTATATGGGTTCTGAGGACTTGAACTCGGTTCCTCATGCTTGTGGAGCAAGTGCGTATACCCAGTGGGTCACCTTTCCAGCCCCTCTTTTCTCTTTTGTTCGTGCTTTTTGTTGGAAGATTTATTTTCAGGAGCTGAGAACCTCACCTCCCCTTGGGCTCTTCCCTCATCATTCCTTAAGCTGAGTTGACCTTTTTCTTGGAGTTCTTGGCAGCCCAGAGCCACATAAGAGCTTTCTTGAAGCTGCCTGTCTGGTTGCTGCTGCTCCCCGCCCCCCCCCCGCCCAGCACAAGGCTGTATATTTATAATGAAAAGAGTTTTATTTGAGTGGAAAATCTACTGGAAAGTACAGTGTAGCACATTTGGTGAGGGTGTCTGGAGGAGTCACAACAACATGGAGAAGAAGAAGAAAGAGCGTGCTGCAGAAGGGACCAAGCAGAGGGAATAACTGCACTTACGATCTGTCCTTGTGAGAACTACTAATCCACTGCTGAAAGAATCACATTAGTCCCTTCCAAAACGGTGCTACCAGGCCCTAATCAGCTTCTGATAAGCCCTGCTACTTTCCAACACCATTACAGCGGGGACAATGCTTACAGTGTATGAGTCTTTACAGGGAAAATTCTACTGAAGTCACAGTGTCATTTTGACTCCGGTGAAAGAGTCTCATAGTACAATGGAGAAAGAAGTCTGAACAGTAAGAAAGGAAGACTGTCTGGTCTGAACGGAGAGCTGCAGGACTGAGAAAGGGACTCCAAAGGGAGACACTGGAGAGGCGAAAACTGGATCTGGAAGATGGGTTACCAATTCATAACCAGGGCTCAGCAGGGAATGGGGAGTGAAATTAGCTCACGAGCTTGACTTACCCCTACTAAAGTGATAGAAAAATAGATGCCGTCAGACCATGGAAGGAGCTAGCCAGGAGACCAAGGAAAGGATAAGGGAGGGAAGAAGAACTCTGAACTAGCCTCTTCTGAAGTGCTCATGAACTGTCAGGAGATAATGTGCAGTGTGTGGAAGAAAATACAGGTTTAGAGTTTGGTCCTTACCCACATGAATTCCATAACTGAAACTGCGTGAGTGGCGCCAACATGAAGGAGGAAGGGATAGAATCTTGGTCAAAGGGTGAAGAAGGCTGGCTATGGAAAGGACCAAAGGAAAGGGAATGGCAGGTGATGAAGGAGACAAAAAAGGCGGAGCCAGAGGAACATGGCGGCAACACCTGTAATCTCAGCACTTGGGAGGCTGGGAGGATCACTGGAGGATCACAAGTTCCAAGCCAGTCTGAGCAACAAAGCAAGGCCCTGTCTGACCGTGTGTGTGTGAAAGTGTGTGTGTGTGTGTATGTCTGTGTGTGTAAGAGAGAAAGAGAGACAAAGACAGAGAGATAGATAGACACAGAGAGACAGACACAGAGAGACAAATAGCTATAGAGACAGAGACAGGCAAAAAGAGACAGAGAGACAGAAAACACAAACCGAATTCAGACAGAATCACAGCAACCAACAGGACAAATTTCCAGACGATAAAGAGATAGATAATAATGAACTGATCATATTTATAATCCTTTTTCTTTAACCTTTTGTAAGGATCAGGTAGAATTTTTATTTAAATTGTTTCAATCAGCTTTTAAAGAGAGAATTTGCTATTAGGAGAGTCAAATATAAAAAGATATGAGGACGAGGTCTGGGGTACTATCTCTTTAATGAGCAGGCAATCAAAAGGCTCCTTGTAGAAAAGCATTTCTGTAGAATGGGGGGCGGGGAACATGGGAGAGATTAAAAGTTACCAGAGGATGCTCAGCAAGGGGCTGATTGGAAGGATGGCCCCTTGAGGGGAAAGTCAGAGGAGGAGATGTTTTTGTTTGCAGGAAAAAAAAAAGCTTTAGAGGAGCATTTGGTGCAGAAGGAAAAGAAACAGAGGGAGTGATTGAAACGTCACGAGAGGAAATCCTTGTCTGAGTTGAGGAGTTGGATGGAAGATAGGACATGGTGCCCAAAGGCAGGGATCTGTCTTCTAATACAGAGAGGTGGGGAGGAGTGAGCACGAAGAGGAAGGCTCTCTAAGAGATATTCAAAGTACCAGAGAGAAATTGAGAGGTGCCCATTTGGGTTGTTCAAATGATAACAGAGTTTAGCAAAGGTTTGGAAAGAGCTGTGGAGAGCAGAAAGGCAGTCTGCACTTTCTTCATCAAATACAGACTCTCTCAGATATTAAATCTAAGTCTCAGAAGAACATAGATGAACTTGTCCATACCAAAAATTTCAGTAGAGTTGGACATGGTGGCACGTGTCTTTAATCTCAGCACTTGGGAGGCAGAGGCTGGCCAATCTCTGTGAAATTGAAGCCAGCTTGGTCTACACAGTGAGTTCCAGGCCAGCTGGGGCTGCAGGGAGATGCCATCTCAAGAAAGAAAGAAAGAAAGAAAGAAAGAAAGAAAGAAAGAAAGAAAGAAAAGAAAAGAAAAGAAAAGAAAAGAAAAGAAAAGAAAAGAAAAGAAAAAAGGAAGGAAGGGAAGAAGGAAGGAAGGGAGACAGGGAGGGAGGGAGGAAGGAGAAAAGAGAAAAGAAAGAAAAGAAAAAGTAAATATGGCCCACAACCTTAACATTTACAGAAAAGACTCACAAACCAGAACATTGTAGAGAAAAAACATCAACAATAAACCAATCCTAGACCCTGAGCTTTTGAGCGCTGTCTAAGACTGCTGCTCCCAAACACAAATAATAGCATACTCTGCCTGAAGAACTCAGACCAGGAAATCTAAAATGATGGAAAGATATCTTCTCCACAGTAGATGACTAGAACACCAAGGAGTCGTGAAAAGGGAAGTGCAGCTGACAAGATACAGCCCGAGAAGTGAAAAATAAGTTCTAAACATCTTTTCCAGTCTGATCCAATGCATGAAATATCACATAGTGCATCCAAGATCTGTGCTTCAAGCTCCCAGAGGATAATTTTAACCTTCAAGAGCTCCATCACAGGAAATGTAAATGTTTTCTGGTCCTTTGACAACATCGAGTCCAATGGGGACCATTGCAGATCAGTGACGCTAGCTCATTTTTCAGGACCTTTGATCCCACCTTGAGGGGTCACACTGAGGCTATTCTTCTAATCATTATATGTAGCAAAGAGGGAGAAAATATCAAGATGCTGCATCCTGTTGTTGCATGCATGCCTTGGGTCCCACCATCTGACAACTTAGAGGGTTATCATCAACCACCACTCAGGCTGCCCTCCCTCCACCTTCAGCAGCAGCCCCTCTTCAACATGGCTCTCAGCCTGGGGTTGCTGAAGAGCAAAACAAGGGGGTGTATGACTGTGCACAGATGAATCACCACCTGCCATATCCAGTACTTGAGTTCCTGAAACTGTGTACCGCTGGCAGAACTGAGGATTAGCGTCAGAAAACAGGAGATGAAGAGGATGATGAAGGAGAGGAGAGTAAGGAAAGCTTTGATGTGGGCCTGTACCCGGATGTCTTGATGTCCTGAGAGGACCAAGAAAGTCTTCTTCATGTGTCTTATCAAAGATATGAGGAGCAAAATCATAAAAATGGTAAAGATCACAGTAGGGATTGTCCACATAATCACTTTAATAGAGAAAAAGTAGAATGTCTCAAGTGAGTGCCTTAGGCTATTCCCAGTGATGTTCCAAGGTTGCCGACCACTTCTCAGATGATTCTGATATATTATCTGATTGCCTATGAAACACAGGATGCTAGTTAAGCCAGACATCCCCACAGCACTGAGCAGCATCCATGGTACCCACCCAGGTACCTTGTATTTTAGCCAGAGGAAGGCAGGATGAGTTAAGGTTGCAATTTTCACACAGTAGAAGAAACCTAGCCAGGAGCAGAACCAGATGGTGACAGCTGTCAGGAAGTCCCACATAAAGTTCAGGATCTGAATTACAGGGCTGTATGGGAAGCTTCCTGGATTCACAAAAACATAAATATTCTTACCTATCACCACCCATTGCAGACAGAAGCGAGATGCTGCTAGACTGATCAGTAACTTATTGTGAGGCGACAACGTTCTCCGTAGCAACCACTTCACGCTCAGTGCTACAGTGATAAAGCCATTGCCTGTCACTGCCACCAAGCATAAAAGGACTAAAATGGCAAGTAAAGCAATGATTTTCTTATCAGTCATCAGATATCCTGGAAACACAACCACGTGCTCTGTGTTCATTTCTCCAGTGGACATGATGGGTCCCATGAAGGGCTGTTTGTTGCTCTGGAAGATCTTGTCTCTCCACCTGCCCCAAGTGCAGAAAGTACGCCAGGTAGAGGATGCAGGCTATCTGAGGAGGGAGAAAAGGTTTCTTCTCTTCAGAACAAATGCAAATATTGCCAAGGCTGTTTCCAAAGTCCTCCTGCCTGCCTGCCTGCAAATTTGCCTGCACTCTTACCTATTGCCCACCCACTGTCAACAACAATCTGAATCGAGCATCAGGTCCCGGCATATGGTGTCCCTTACATAGGCAGTTACGCTTCTCTAAGCTGACACCTAAGACCACACACCTGGGGCAGCTTGGTAATGAAATCCACAGGGTGTGCTTCCTACTCAGCATCAGAGATTATGTCCATGGTAGGGGTGAGAGTCGGTTGTTAAGATCCAGGTGCCCATTTGTACAGGACTGTCCTCAGACACACAGACACCACCTTCAGGAGTTCAACTGGATCAGCTTGCCAAAGATCACAGCTGGACTTGTTAATAGCTGACGCCCCCCCATAGGATGGGCAGGGAGGGTCACAGGACCCTCACCAGAGTATCTACCCACACCTCCCAACCCATGGTAGGCAGTTCGGCCCTAACTGCACAGGAACTGGGGAAGGGCTAGAGTATATAGTCTGGGGTAGTAGACTGAGGGAAGGGGCGCTCCTTTTATGTAACTATGGGAAAGTCATCGTCCATGCTTTGATGAAGATGTTCAGGTGCAGTCTTAAGAGACAGCACCCACACCCCTGTAAGTAAACCCTCACTCATTGCTCTGTAAGTAAGCTCAATAAACTCATTAGTTCCTTGGAGTGTACTCTGGGGAGTCATACCTTGGTTTCTTATTGGAACCAAGGGAAAAGGGGAAGGATGTTGTTTATATTTCCCCCACCAGAAGGAGTTTTAGCAATAGCCCCCCAAAGCATTTAATTTTTAGAACAACCCTATAAAGATGTGCAATAAGAATATTCCTTTGACAAAGAGACAGAGAGAAACCTGATCAAGACCTCTTCTGTGAGACATTATTTCAAATTCCATTAGTTGAGGGCTCAGCATGACAAAATAGAACAGAGGGGACATTACATATAATGAGGCCAGAGAAGTGTCTTTAAAATTTAGAAAACATTTTGCGAGCAGTGACTTTCAAAGTAGCATCTCACCAAGATAGCCATAACCCCAATGGGATTTTGGCCAAGGGAGCCCTGGCCTAGAGAGAGGCTTGCCCAAGCCCCACCCCTCCCTGTGAGTTCTTGAGTATGCCAGGAGGCCCTTCTGCACGTCACTGTGTCCTTGTAAAATGTGAAAAGCATATATTCTGATGCAGAGTCCCCTCAAAATCTGTTTTCAACTGCATGAGACAATAAAGGTAGTTTCATAGATGAAAGAAATGAAGTCCCAAGTTGTAGATTGAGTCCCACTTAAAGTTGTAGCAGAGCATCAAGAGCTACACTGATTCCAGGACCAGCCTCTTGCCATAGTCACATAGCTTGCATCTCTGTCTGCTTCATCCTTAGCTAGAGTGAGAAGACTGGATTTGGAGACTCATAACAATCAGTAATTATGGATTCACAGTATAGCCATTAATCCATCTAACTCCCCCTTTCTTTGCCTATTAAAAATATAGGTCTGCAGGGCTGGAGAGATGGTGCTGCAGTTAAGAGCACTGGCGACTCTTCCAAAGGATCCTGGTTCAATTCCCAGCACCCACCTGGTGCCTAACACCCGTTTGCAACTCCAGTTCCAGGCAATCTGACACCCTTTTCTGACCTCCATTGGCATTGCACGACACGGGTGCACTACAGACATGCAGCCAAGATACTCATACACATAAATGGAAATGATAAATTAAATATTTTTAAAGGGGGCAGGGGAGATGGCTCAGCAGGTAAAGTTGCTGTCAAAGCCTGAAGACCTGAGTTTCTTCCCTAGAACCCACATGAAAGTGGAAGGAAAGAACCAACTCCACAAAGTTATCCTCTGACCTCTACATGCATGTTGTGGCATGTACATGCCCACACATATTTACACACACACAATAAATAAATAAATAAATAAATAAATAAATAAATAAATAAATAAATAAATAAATAAATGTTTAAAAATCAATTATCAGGTTCTGGAGAGATGACTCAGTAAAACACTTGCCACACAAGCATAAGGACCTGAGTTTGGCTTCTCAGCACCCACGGAAAAATCCAAGCATGAGTGAGTACCCACCCATAACCCCAGTGCTGGGGCTAAGGAGACAGGAGGATCACTGGAGCTAGCCTGTGGAGGAGGGGGTACTCAAGCGAACTCCAGATTCAGTGAGAGACCCTGCCTCAACTGGATGAGGTGGAGAGCAGTAGAAAGAGGGAAGACACACACATATCACACACATGCACACACACATACCACTTACACACACATACAAAATCAATTATCAATACATGTGATCACAAATAAAAGAAACTGAAAATTTCTGCATTTGCATAACAATTAATTATGGTGGTGATAATGATGACTTCTTAGAATGATTATCTTCCATCATCCTGTGGAACAACAAGCAGTCCCAGGAGAATTCAGGAGATCATGGGTGCCGTAGATGTCCAAGGCACCAGAGAAGGGTGGGCTAGGCAAAGTCTATTTTCTCCATAATGATGAGCTTCAGAGAGGCTAGGGGAAAAAATGAGCAGTTGACACCCAAATGAGCGGAAGTAAGCTAATGTGTCACAGGGAAATAAGCAAGCAGAAATTGTTCTGGGCCAGTTAAAATAGCAGTACTGAAAGCTCAGGACCAAGTAACATGGGAGCAAGTGACTATTTAATAGTGTGACCATCTCCTGGGGAGCACTATGACCCAGCAGCTCCAGGCACAGGGCACCCACTAAGAGGGCATGCAACGCAGAAGGTAGGCAGCTTTTTCTGGTTCACAGTGTGCCTCTAGGTTTCTTCAGTACAGGTAGTAAGGTTGCCGGGTAAAGGAAAGAAAGGAAAAAAAGGCAACATAGTGATTCTGCCAACTTCTGAAAATGCCAATTCTCAGGGAGTAGAGCCAGCAAGTTCCTTCTTGCCCAGGTTTCTTTTGGTTTTTGGTCTTTTTGAGACAGGGTCTCCCTGTAGCTCCAGCTGGCCTGGAACTCACTATGAAGACCAGGCTGGCTTTGAACTCACAGAGATCTGCCTGCCTCTACCTCCCGAGTGCTGGGCGCCACCACGCCTGGGCCTGGCTTGCCCAGGTTTTTTTGCTTAACTTTTCTCTGTTTTCCACAGGAACTTGGAGAAGTGAGGCAAACTGGGGCAAGCCATAAACTTTGTGCTGTATGGAAAATTCTTATCTCTTCCATCTACCTCCCATGGCTCATAAGTTGAAAAGATATGCAATTAACCCTCAATTCATTTAACAACCATTTTAAAGCATCTCTTATTCCATAATAACTCAGTGGGAAGCACTGGGGGCTACAACTCTGAGTTAGTTATCTGCCTTCAAAGCGCTTTCATGCACAAATCATAAACCACAAACTTTTACTGGGCATGTATTATGTGCAAATGAAGTTCATTCAAAACGGTCAGTATCCTTTTAAATTTAAACAGAAAACCTGTTTATGGTGATTTTTGTCACTGTTTGTGTTTACAGCACTTTGCTTTCTCATATTTAGATTTAGCCTCCTGGGTAGATAGAAAGTCTGAGGTTCTTTAATTTTTTGTAGCCTTTGTAAATGTGAAAGTGAAAGGCATTAGGTAGAAACCCAGAATGGGTTTTCTAGGTGGAAAATTCTCAACTTGGTGCTCTGTATCAGAAAGACTGAAAGAAAAGAAAAAAAAAAAAAAAAAGAGTGATCTGAATGGTATGTTCTAAATATTATGCATCATCCTATTTCCATTCCAAGAATTATTTGAAAAGGCCAGCAAGATGGCTTATCAGGTAAAGGCACTTGTCAACAAGGCTGAAGACCTGAGTGTTCCATCTCCAAGACACACATTGTGGAAGCAGAGAACTGACCCTCAAGTTGTCCTCTGACCTCCACAGCATACCGTAGCATGTACCTTCCCCAGCACCTGGATGGATGGATGGATGGATGGATGGATAGATATGTAGATGATTGATGATAGGTGATAGATTAGATAGATAGATAGATAGATAGATAGATAGATAGATAGATAGATGATAGAATAGATAGATAGATAGATAGATGATAGATAGATAGATAGATGATAGATGATAGACAGATAGATGATGATAGATAGATGGATAGATGATAGATGATATAAAAAGGGAAAATAGTTCAGCAACAGCAGCCCCATCATTGTGAGATGAGTGAAATAATGTGTTGTATGTCAGAAAAGTAAGGCTTCTATAAGGCCAGTAGAAATTCAATATGGGGGCTGGAGAGATAGATGGCTTTGTGGTTAAGAGCACTTGCTGTTGTTTCAGATTACCTGAGTTCACTTCCCAGCACCCACGTCAGATGGCTCACAACAGCCATTTGCAGCTCCCGGGGATGTGACACCTTCCTCTAGCCTGCTCTGGCACCTGCACACATATGCACATAAATTCACACACATGCACATGCTTTCACACACACACACACACACTAAATAAATAAATAAATAAATAAATAAATAAATAAATAAAAAGTTGTTGATGCAATCATATTAAGAAAGGTCAAGTAAGCTTGAGCTCCATCAAGGATTCACTTATGGCCATGGTGGTGTCTTTGGCCAAAAAGTCGGACTAGAGAGGAATGCAAGATCCCTCTCTGTCATGTTAGGATACAGAAAGATGTCTGCAAGCAGGAAGAAGGGCATTCACAAGTGCCCAATTATGCTGGTACCCTAAGTTTCAGGCTTGTCCTAGTCTGTTCTTCATTGCTGTGACAAAACACTCTGACCACTACCAACTTGGGGAGGAAAGGGTTTATTTGTCGTACAACTCCCAGGTTGCAGTTCATCAGGGAGCCCAAGGTAGGAACTCAGGGCAGGAATCTGGAGGCAGGAGCTGGAGCACAGGCCATGGAGGAACGCTGTTTACAGGCTTGCTCCCCTGGCCCCTGCTTTCTTATGCAACACAGGCCCACCTGCCCAGGGGTGGCACCACCCACAGTGGGCTGGGCCCTCCCACATCGCTCATCAAGAAGATGCCCTTCAGACATGGCCACAGGCCAGTCCAATAGAGGCAATTTCCCGATTGAGGCTCCCTCAACCCAGGTGTGTCAAGTTGACACTAAAGCTATCCAGCACAAGGCTCTAGCACCATAAAAATAAAATAGTCAATCAGCCTATGGTATTATGCCCAGAACCTGAACTAAGACATGGCCATATGTGCATTTATTAATTATGTGCATGAAAATTTTAGCACTACATTAAGTGCATTGTAAGACACACACAAAAATAGAAACTTAAAGAAGAAAAAAGTAAACGGAAACAGAAGTTGCCACATTTTCTTCCGACTCCCAATGGACCACTTTTCACAAGTTTCAGTCTGGAGACTTTCATACTGAGCAGCAGCATCCAGGAGATAACCCCTGGGCAAGCAGACACAGGGAGGTGGGAGGATATCAAAATTAACAATTGGCGTTTGCCTATGATTATACTAGATTGGCACTTCCCTGTAATTACAATCATAGAACTTAGAAGGCTGAGGCAGGAGGATTGTTTGAGGCCAGTCTGAGCTACATACTGAGAACCTGTCTTAGAAAAACAAAGTATGGGATGTAGTTCAGTGGTAGGGTTCTTACCTAGCATGGGCAAGGTCCTAGGTTTTATGGCAAATACCACCAAAAAAATAATTGCTGAACTTTTTCTTTATTTTCCATCCATCTTCAGTGGACCGAAACCTAAAACTATTTCCATAACAGGCACTTCTTTTCAAGTCAACATGAAGTCTTGAACAGGACCTGCAGTGGCTCAAAGCCCTTACGTGCCCTCAGTCTTCCACAGCATCGATCTGAAAGTAGACTCAGTTTTAGGCAGGATACAAATGAGGAGGGCAAAGATTGGCAGAGAAAGGAAAGAAAGACGAGAACAGGTGGAAGGAAGCTGTGCTGAAGAGGTGGACTTGGCAGAGCAGTGACTGGGGATGGCATCCGGGGTCACAAGGAGAGGGAATCTATACCACAGAGACAGCTGATGATGGTGGAACCCCTTCATGAAAGGAGTTCAAGCAGAAATGGTGCTTGAGCAATATTATTAAGGTTGCTTTTGTGGATGCTCACAGAGGCCTCTGGGGAACTGAGACCATCAGCTGAGGCCGAGGGGATCTGAGACTCAGACCAAGGACTAGCAGAAGTGAAGGGGACAACAGGAACACAGAGAGGTGGAAAAAGAATTGGGGGACATGGGAGGAGGGAGAAAGAAAGAAGGAAATGAGAGTACTCAGACCTTATGAATTCTTGCTGTGTAGGAGTTTATTCATCATGGTACTGATTAGTGACACTGAGAACTTGAAAGCATAGACACCCTTGGTCCAGGGCCTTCAAAGTTTATGATGTGGCTGCACATAGGTTCTGCAGCCTCGTCTTCAGGGCCTTGCTCAGCTTGGGGTTGCTGAGCACCAGGATGATGGAGTGTAGGTAGACACCCACGTAGATAATTATTTCCTTGGCCCAATACCAGTAACTCTGCATGGTTGTGGTTTTCATAATAGAAATGGTCATGGACAGAAAAAACAAAATATAGAAGATGAAAAAGAAGGCCAGGAACTTCAGAGCCATAGTGTGAGCCTGGGTGCTGGGATCACAAGTCCCAGTCCTCTGGTCCCTCATCTGCCCCACATGCCGGTACAGTGAAGACATGAGCAAGATGATGGACAGCAGGAAGAGGAAGAAAGGAGTGAGCCACAGGAGGGCTATGTGAAACAGGTAATAGTACCAGAAGAAGGCCAGCGTCTTGTGACCAAGGGTGCAGTTTCCACGGGAACCCTGGGAGATGATCATCCGAGTGGCAATGATATTCCCAGTGGCTGATATGATAGCAGACAGGCTACCTAAGACAAGGGAGCCCAGCAACAGCCTGGGCACTAACCGAGAAATCCTCCACTTCAGCCAGGAAAGGGCAGGGTGGGAGAAGGAGGAGATCTTCACACAGTAGAAGATGGCAAGGCAAGCCGTAAACCATAAAAGGAGAGTATTGCTGAAGTCCCAGAAGATGCCAAGAAAGTTTGCTTGGTAACAAAAACCAAAGAAGGCCAGGAGATCGTTCAGGACAGCTGTTCCATGCAGGCAGAACCGGGAAGAGGCGAGAGAAGCCACAATCATCTCAGCTGCTGACAGTTTCCGGCTCCGCATCCACTCTCTGGCCAGCACAGCAATCACGAAGCCATTCTGCAGCATAGCAGCCAATGACATCAGACTGAAGATGACCATGAGGATCGTTATGGATGTGGAGGGCATCCTTTTCAGGGAGGGTTTGCTCAAACAGGCTTCTGCTCCACAGCTGAGACACAGTTACAAGGGAAAACAATCTCTCCAGCCTAACCACTGCTGAGACCAGAGACACTGAAACTCTCTATATTCATACAAAAGCCGAGCCACCAGCAAAGCTCCAGTCCCTGGGACTTGAAATGATAATAACTGCAGCCTGCCTAGACATGCAAATCACTCCCAGCTCAATGACACCTGTCTCTCTGTTTGTATAACCTGCATTTGCTTACTCCTTACCACAGACAGGTGCAAGGAAATGTTAGCAGGAGATGCTCTGGGCTAACTGTAAATACCCCTATTGTGCACATTGTGAGCTTTTTACATGGTTCACTCTTTGACAACTTTATACATGTATACAATGTATCTTGATTGTATCCACCTCCAATTCCCCACTTCCACTCTCTCAGGGCCCCTCAACCATCCCCTTCCCACCTTCATGTCTTCTTTAATTTTTGTTTGGTTTTTTTTTTTTTTTGCTCTTCTTGTAATTTTTATTTTCTAATACTTAATATTTTTATTTTAATAGATGGTTTTAATATAGTTACAAAGCAAATTTAGAACACAATTCAGAATTCAGGACACAAACAGTTAAATCATAGGATAAAGCAATTTATAAGGAAGTGAATAAACTGCTTTGGGAAAATTGAATTTACAAAGCATTTCATACAGAACATCTTAAAAAATCTTGATCATCTTTATACCCCTGTCCCCACTGGCACACTCCCTTAGCCTTACCCCCAACTGGAGCCCATATACTCTGTCAGCTCTGTTAAGGTCTCTGTGTTATCAGTGCCCCCAGCCATTCCCCAGTGCAAGTCTATCCACTGAGGTCTAGTCGGCCTTTCTGGGGTCCCTTGTTTTAGGAAGATCATCTCTTCTTCATCTAGTAGCAATCAGTTGCCAATATTTCTTCAGATAAGATTGGGGTCTGCTGTTCATTTCCCCAGTTCTATGCTGGGTTTTTGTCTACCTGGGTTTGCATGGGACTTGTGTATGCTGACACCATTGCCATAGAATCATATGAGCAGGGTCCCAGGAGCTTGTAGGACTGTTTCCATATGGTCATGCACTTCCTCCCTGTCTCTTAAAATCTTTCTACCTCCTCTTCCACAGCAGTCCCTGAGCTTTGGATGGGTGAAATTTAATAAAGGATCCTGTCCAAGGACCAGCATTCTGCAGACTCTTGATCTCCATACTTTGGCTATTTTTGACCTTTTGTGTTCCTGGCCCTCTGCTGCATGAGGGAGCTTCATTACTGAGAACTGAGAGGTTCATTTGTGTCCTCTTCTTTATCCCTGTTCTGTGTTCCATGATCCTTAGGTGAAGAGGTTATACTGTAGATGTGTCACTTAGGCCTGGGTAATTCATAGACAATGTCTGTGTGTGACCAGTTGTGGTACTTGGTAACAGTCTCTGACTGGTGCAAAATGAGCTTCTTTGATGAGTGGTAACTGGAATCATGTCTTCTTTTTTAATAACCCTCTGAGTCCAGTTAGTGTTGTCAGCATACACATGGATATAGAGTTGGTCATCCACCGGATTGTAGGCAAACTACCAACAGTCATCCCTGCTACCAGTGGCCAACCTTCCCCACCATCAAAGAAAAATGACTCCCCCTCCCCCAGCCTTTTTCAACTGAAAATAGCTCTTTAGCTAGAGGTGGGGTCCCATGAACTCCTCCCCCCATCCATACTGGAATAATGACTAGCTTGATTTTTTAAAAAATATTTTTTATTTATTCTTTGAGAATCTCATACATGCATACAATGTATTTCGATCATATCCACTCCCTTCCCCCAACTCCCCCCAAGTCTCGATCCATCCCCCTCCAACGTTCATGTCTTCTCTTTTTTTATCTACTTTTTTATTTTATGTGTATGAGTGTATTACTTGCATACATGTAAGTGCACCTGCACCTGTGCCTTGCAATGTCCAAGGACGTCAGAAGAGGGTGTCCCTGGAACTGGAGTTATAGATTGTTCTTAGCCACACTGTGGGTGCTGGGAATTGAACCCAGGTCCTCTGCAAGAGCAGCCATTGCTCTTAACTACTGAACCATGTCTCCAGCTCCCCCCTCTGTTTTTTTAATAACCCACTAAGTCCTATTAGTGCTCCCTCTATGGGCATGAGGGTACAGGGGTGGGGCCATCCACTGGAGCATTAGTAGCCTAGCAGTGGCCACATCCCCAAAGAAAACTACTCTCCCTCCCTGAGTAGCCATCAACAGCAGATAGTTTCTCAGCTAGGGATGGGGCCTTATAAGCTCCTTCCCTGCCCATGCTAGAATTTTGATTGGCTTGATCTTGTGAGGATACTGTGCAGATACCGGGTACAACACCCATACCATGTCCAGAAGTCATGGATTCACAGCACCCCTCCCTGTTCTCTAGCTCTTACATTCTTTCTACCCCCTCTTCTGTGATGCAAATGTCCAATTCAGGGCTAAGCACTCACAGTCATTTATTCTTGGCTTTTTCGCCTGTTATGAGTTTCTGGGTTAACCATTGTTCACTGAAAAAAGAAACAACATCTCTGACTAAGGTTGGCAGCTCAGATCTTTGAGTATAAACACAGATAGATATTTAGAAGGCAGTTTGACCACATGGCCATTTAGCAAAACAATAGTAGGGTCCCAGCTAGGACCTATGACTTTCCCAGCCAAGGTTTACAGTACCAGGCATGAATCCCCTCCTATGGAGCAAGTCTCAAATCCAACCAGAAAGCAGTTGGTTACTCCCACAACAGTCATGCTACCATTGCAACTTTGGGTACATCTTGTTTGGCAGACACATTGCTTCTTTTGTTTGTTTTGTTTTGTTTTCTGACAGGGTCTCTCTAGCCCCATTCTACCTGGAACTCACTATATGGACCAAAGTGGCCTTGATCTCACAGAGGTCTGCCTGCCTCTGCCTCTGCCTCTGCCTTGCAAGTCCTGGGACACATTGTTTCTTAACTATACTATTTACTTCCAAATTATTTCTTTAAAAATGCCTCTTCTCAGGGCTGGAGAGATGACTTAGTGGTTAAGAGCACTGGCTGCTCTTACAGAGGACCCTGGTTCAATTCCGAGTACCCACATGGCAGCAAACAACCATCAGTAACTTCAGTTCCAGGGGATCCAACGCCCTCTTCTGACCTCCATGGGCACTGCACTACATGGGTGCATCTACCTACATGCAGGCAATACACTCATACACATAAAATTAAAATAATAAATAAAATATGTTTTTAAATGCCTCTTCTCCTATTTCCCTCTCTGAAAGAGAATCCATCCCTGGACCTTCATGCCCTGGGTAAATATTTTATTCAGTAAACTTAGATGCTGTATTAAAGCTCACCTCTGTGTCAGTGGAATAGGAAGACATTTGTATGCACAAAGCTTGGAATTACCAAGGAAAGTCTCCCTAAGCTGTGACCTTTCATGCTTTCTAAAGTTACACTGTCGGACTGCATAGAGGAGTTTATGAAGTCTCTGGCCAAAATTTGAACTTCCTTGACGTATTACCTTCAAATCTGCCAGCCATTAACACCTTAGTTCCAATATGTTTGACAAGTAGAATGTATTTGTTCCTGGGGTAAAGAGAAAACTAATGCATCCCTCAAGTCTCACCATTGCACAGCATAGTGAGATGCACACGGAAGGCCACAACCGCCTAGGTTTTAAAGAATCAGAGACTACAGAGTGTGTGTCCCTGGACAGGATTCCCGTATTGAACTGCACTCACCCACTGCTCAAGGTCCATTGCAAAAGGGGGGGGTGAAAAGATTATAAAAGCCAAGGCTGGTTCGTGAACACGGGGAAGCGAAGGCTTTAAGGCCACTGGAAGTTTGCACATGTGAACTTGTGGCAATTGTGGCATCAAGCACAGGACCCACGTCAACTCAATCAGACAAGGGCCCAGAGGGTAGGAGAGAGATGGGTGGTGGGCCAGGCCTAGACTGAGAGCAGCTGGAGGCTGGTTGCTGCTGGGTGGGGGAGAGTATGCCTTGCACAAGATCTCTGGATGAACTAAGTTGACTGGACTACGGTGGATGAATTTGCACTGAAGGGCATCTGGGTGCAAATTCTTGACTGGATAGGACTTGCCATGTGTGGTGGAGTGCATGGGGTCCAGTGGGGGAATGGGGAAGGCAGGATGGAGGAAGGGGTCTGGGTTTGATTGAGAACTGTTGTATAAGAAAACAGAAACTCAATACAAATTTTTTAAACAATTTAGTCGCTCCTAAAATGGCTCTGTGGATAAGTCATAATGAGGAAGGAATGACAGAGAAGAAAACAAAATGGTCCAGAAAGTATGCCACGATAGGAGCTTAAAACAAAAGCTTGTCAAGAGGAGCTCAGGACAGAGCTGGGACCAAAAGGAGGGACCGCCTTGTGTAGAGGGAGCTCTGTGCCACAGCAATACCTAGGACAGTAGCAGCCATCCTGCCAGAAAGCTTGCCGTTCATCCAGTGACTTATGTCACACGTGTCATGCCTTGCCTTCGCCACACAAAGTAGCATTGATTCAGCTAAGCCAACGTAGCTCAGAGAACTACTCCAAAGGGTCTAAGTGAGGTAGGCTGAAAAGGAGAGCGTGCTTCTGCCTGTGAACAGCAGGAGAAAGGAGGAAAAGAGGGAGGAGAAGCGTAACACAACGCAGAGATGCTGGCAGCGGGGATCCGCTCCCAGAACTGAGCATCTTGGAGTCGGTCTTCTCAGTGACCACGCACAGAAAACGCCCTTGCTGCTGACTTCATATGGCCCCACTCAGTAGGCCACAAATGAGAGGTCCTTGTAGGAAAGATTGAAGAGAAATGACAGCAAAAACAAGCATTCATCGTGGAGTTCACAGGGAAAAAGACACACAACCAACTCAGGGCATTTGACTGAAGAGTTGCTTTGTTTTTTAGTGAACTTTCAAAAGGTTATCAAAGAGCTGATAATCAATCGGACAACTTTGTGGCCAGTTTCAAGATCTACCTTGGCTTCTTGCAGGCTTAGCTCTGGGATCTCCTTGAAGACAGCAGCAGTTGATAGCTTCTGCGTGTTGCACAATGTTTTGGCTCTTCTCAAAATTCCTGGGCAAGGGGCCAACTTCCTGAAGTCATCACCTAACAAGTCCAGGCCATGACACACATGCCGTGCTGTGGCCACATGTAACCAAGTGTACACTGTGTGCTCACAAACACCTTCATGTTACCTGTATTACCATCAAAGCAGACACCTGGCCAGGACCAGCCTCTTCTTCCCCTTCTCTGTAATTAACAGATCCACAGTGTTTTCTCAGGTCTCAATTCTCTCCGGGAAGAAAGTTGAAGACCAAGCATGGTGGCACATGCCTTTAATCTCAGCATTTGGGAAGCAGAGGCAGGTGGATCTCTGTGAGTTCAAGATGAGTCTGGTCTACAAAGTGAGTTCCAGGTCTCCCAAGGCTACATAGTGAGATCCTGTCTCAAACAAAGAAACAGACAAACAAACAACAACAAAAATGGCCAGGCATGGTAGCACATGTTTTTAATCCCAGCACTCAGGAGGCAGAGATAGGCAAATCTCTGAAAGATGGAAAGTAAGCTGGTCTACATAGCAAGTTCAGGCCAGCTGGGGCTACAGGGAAATGCTGTCTCAAAAATATTTAAAGAGTTGAATTTAGGGCTGGTGTTAATAGGATGCTTCCCTAGCATGCATGAAACCCTAAATTTAATCCCCAACACTAAATAAACTGAGCATGGTGGTGCACCCCTGTAATTCCAACCCTTGGTAGGTGGAAGCAGAAGGTTCAGAAGTTCAAGGTCATCCCCAACTACATAGTGAGTTTGAGGCCAGTAAGGTGGAGATCCTGTCTCCAAAAAAGAAAAGAAAGGAAGAAAAAGAGGGGGAGGAGGAGGAAGAGGAGGAGGAGGAGGAGGAGGAGGAGGAGGAGGAGGCTGAATTCTTTTCATTCAAAGCCTCTATTCCTCTCTTAGTCCTTCATTTGACCTGTCTCATAGAGGCCCCCCATCCCACTCACAGACTACCTCCAAAAGACACTACAAGCAGGCCAATCACTTTAGTTGTTTCCAAGAGTCCTTCAAATATTGAAAAAAAAAAAAAAAAAAAACAACCACCAAAATACTACATCTCATGAAGATTGTATTGTGTTTCTCTTTCCTAAAGCTGCATGGTGCCTACAAATGAAGCTGAGAGATTCTTTTCTGTAACACAATTGACAGGATTGTTTTAGGATGATGCCTGAGTCCTCTGTGAAAGGATGCTAATGTCAAGTCACAGCAGGATCCGAGGTTCCAAATGGAAGAGTCTGCAAAGAGCTAGTCCTATTTCCTCCCTTTTAATTCTCTACACTGCTAAATGTTTTGATTTGTTTGTTTCTCTTCATTAATTTTTCACTTTGCTTTGCTTTTTCTTTATTGCATTCTAATACACTGGGTTGTCTGAAAGCCATGTGAAAGCACATTTCTTTTGATAGGGTTTGTAAATCTTGCTGCTCATTTTCCAAGGAACCTTTGGGTGTCCTGTGGTGAGTGCCTAAGTGCTTCCACATTTTTATACGGTTTCAGCAAGCGATGCAGGGCCTATGCCAGGGAAAGGTCGAGGAAGAAGGAGACAATGTTTTCAGTGGCTAGGCTGCATATCAATGTTAGACCAAACTGCAGAAATTTAAGAATTGTTTTCCTACACAATCAGTTCTAAGTATAATTTTCTAGTCTGTCAAAGTTCCTCTCACTCTTATATTTAGGTAAATAATTTAGGATTACAACATTGATTCTAATAAAAATTCAGTATAGATAGAATTTTATCTCCCTGAAAGCAAGTGTTGGGAATTCTGATATTCTCAGTAACCAAAACATATGAGTACGGTGGTACAGGTCTATAATCCTAGAGTGTGGTGCTACAGGTCTATAATCCTAGAGTGTGGTGCTACAGCTCTATAGGAGTGTGGTGCTACAGGTCTATAATCCTAGAGTGTGGTGCTACAGGTCTATAATCCTAGAGTGTGGTGCTACAGGTCTATAGTCCTAGAGTGTGGTGCTACAGGTCTATAGTCCTAGAGTGTGGTGCTACAGGTCTATAATCCTAGAGTGTGGTATAATCCTAGCACGCAAGCACAAGGATGATTTAGAGCTCAAGAACAGCCTAAGCAAAATTTTTATATATGTATATGTGTATATATATAATGTACATATGTTATTATATATGTTATCTCTCTCATAAAAAGAAAAATGAGGGGCTGGAGAGGAGGCCCAGCAGTTAAGAGCACTGGCTGATATTGCAGAGGACCTGGGTTCAATTCCCAGCACCCACATGGTAGCTAACAACTGTCTGTAACTCCAGCTCCAGGAAACCTGATGCCCTCTTCTGACCTCCGAGGGCACTGCATGACACGGGTGCACTTACCTACATGCAGGCAATACATTCATACACATAAAATAATAATTTTTTTTTAAGAAAAGAAAAATGGGATTGAAGAAGGTTCCAAGGTTACAAGTTCTTGCTGATCTTCCAGAGTTGAGTTCCCAGAATCCACATGGTACATCTTAAAGCCTCCTGTAATAACAGTTCCAGAGGATCTTTCTCCTCTGGCCTCTGTGAGTAGCCATACACATGAGGAAGTCACACATATAGACACATACACATGCACAGAAGTAAAAAATAAATCTAGGGGTGGAGTGATGGCTTAATGGTTAAGAACACTCGCTGCTCTTCCAGAGAACTGGAGTTAGGTTCCCAGAACCTACAAAGGGCAGCTCACAAACTCCCTTTAACTCCACTCCAGGGGCTCCAATGCCCTCCCCTGACCTCTGTGTATACCCTTACACACAGGCATCCACAGACACAGATATCTACACATAAGTAAAAAAATTTTTAAATCTAAAAATAATAAAAGCAAAAGAAAATTTGAAAACAATATATAGGAAATCCCAACATAGTACAAAAAAAAAAAAAAACTACATATAGAGAGTTAATATTAGTAATATTCAAATATAGTCTTGTTTTCCTTTCAAATTAAAAAATGGGGTTTTCAGTTTCTTTTTACAGTCATAACATGATCCTGCAAGCAGATTCTGCATCGACTTTTATTTTAATCATTAAATGGTTCTTTCTTATTTTTTAGATGTATTTTTATTATTTTTCATTATGTGTGGTTGTGTGCGTGCATAGTGCATGCTGTACCTGAGGAGGTCAGAGGTATCAGATCCCCTGGAACTGGAGTTATAGGCAGTTGTGATCTGCCCCACGGGTGCTGGGAACCAACCTCCAGTCCATTGCAAGAGCACTATGTGCTCTTAACCACTGAGCCCTCTTTATCACTTTCTTATACCCTGTCAATAACTAGAAACAATAACAGTGATCTTCAAAGGAATAAATCAATGCTCCTTCCTTAATGTCATAAACTTCATTAATGTATTATGAAGAGATAAACAGTGTTCAGAGACCTCTGAATCAGTGGTTTGAAGACCATGTTTCCCAGGTGTTCTCAGGCCAAGGCTACAAAGAAAACTAAGAAAACCCACAAGTACTCATCCGACAGAGCTGTTCTTTGGTCATTATTTTATATTATGAGTTTGCACAGAAGATTTCAAAATCAGGACTTCTCTCCACTGCAAACCCCAAATCTGCAACTGTTGTCCTTGACCAAAACTCAATCAAAGCGGCATGTATAGACAGAACTCAGATATCTTTTTCCATTTATTCCTCAAAACTCTATTAAAGTACCTGCAAAGGAATTTTAAAAATTATTTTAGAGCAGTGTTCCATAATAACAAATAGAATGAGTCTGAAAAGCAGAAAGAGCAAAGACAGCCTTTCTGTGAGAACTCAGTCCTACACAAGCAGAAAGGAAAGTCCAGAACAAACCCGACATACACTTGGGATACACAGCACCAGTTGCCACTGGAGAGAAAAATAGTTGAGTCAGTTTAGAATGAAGATTCCAAGAACTGGGTCATAATTCAGTGCTAGAGAGTTTGCCCACCCTGCAGAAAGTCCTGGGTTCAAGCCTCAGCACTGCCCTGGAGGGGAGGGGAGGGGAATTAGAAGGGGGAGGAGGAGGAGGAGAAGGAGGAGAAGGGGAAGGAGGGGAGAAGGGACAGAGGGAGGCAAAAAAGACCAAACTCCCAGATCACCCCTTTGTATAACTGGGCCTCCACCTGTCCCCTGCCCTAGGAAAAGATTTAGGTGTATTCTCTGGGGAGGGTAAAAGAGAATCTCTGAACTGCTTCTTCACAGTTGAAACAAGGGAAAATACTTAAAGCAGGACAATTAGATAAATATATTTCCCTGGATGAAGAAAAGTTACTCTGGCCTAGAATTCTCCATCTGGATGCTCAAATGCAAGGGTAAATTACTGCTGCAAGTCAGATGGTGCTTGGTTTACAAGGTTCAACTTATTATTTTCTACCATTACACTTGATGCAAAAGCAATGGAAATCTGGCAGAAACCGTACTTTGGGCCCATGAAATACAGTTGAGATGCTGGGCAGCTCTTCACCAATCATGGAGTCACAAGGGGAACATCCAGTATTCTGCAGTATGCTGAGTGGGTTAGATGTATTAAGTGTACTTTTCGCTGACAATATTTTCAACCGACAATAAATTTATTGGGATGTGACTGAATGTGGATCAAGGAGCAGCTGTACAGACTCTGCAGACAAAGATTTCAAAATCAAGTTTATTTTCTACATGGTCCATAGACAAAATGAAGTTATCCAGCCATAACAATAAACAAAATCATGATATTTGCAGGAAAATGGATGCAACTGGAGATTGTATGTTAAGTGAATTAGCCAGTCTTAAAAGACAAATGCTGCATGCTTTTCTCCTATACAGACTCTAGATTTAAATTGTGTGTGTGTGTGTGTGTGTGTGTGTGATGAAAATTGGAGGAGATCTTGAGGGAGACGGGTGGGAGGGAAAAAAAAGAGAGTCATGAAATACATGAGACATGAAAACAGAAAAGGAGACTGTTGGGGAAGAGGAAAGGGATGCGGAGGACCGCGGTAAAGGAGGGGAATAAGAAGAAAGTAGAATGGCATATATGTATATTTATGTACATATGAAAATGCTATGATTGCTTCATGTGCCAACTTTAACAAATAAATAGCAAAAAGTTTATTTTCTATATCTTCTTTTTCTGGTAGCTATTGGAGAATATGTTCCTCCAAAGCTACAGAGGAAAAGATGGGTACAGGAAATACCTCATCCAAGATGACGGAGACCAAAGGGCAGCATGAGGCAGATGTTGGCATCAAAGGAGGGAGGTGTGTTGAGCATGACAAGTCTGCACTGGAGCAGAGAAAGAGGTTCCAACAGGGATGGACTCAGGCAAAAAAATTTGAAGTATTTATGCATATAAAATTGTCGATAAAATTTTACACCAGTGACAAGTATTTGAGAATGAAATACAAACAAGGCAATTGTTAAATCAAAAGAAAACAAAATTTGTCCAGAAAAGGAGGGCAGTCTTGGTTTAATACAGGCTTCATCACGAAGAATACCTTAAACATTGAACATGGGTTTAACCAACAATACAACTACATTGAAAAGTAGAAGACAGGAATGTGTGCAGGGACTGCAGGTGAGGAAGAGCTAGAGCTTCATTCTCCATAGTGGAAAGTATACTCAAGACTGAAAAATCAAAAGTAGTGAAAAAACACAATTTAGAGACAGATAGACACACAGATACAGACGCAGACACACACACGCACACACACGCACACAAGCTAAGAGAAGTAGAAGCAATTGCGTCCAAAAAGGGGAAAGGGGAAGGGGACAGAAGCAATTTGTGTTTTTTTGTTTTTGAAAAACAGATCTGGGGCCTGGAGAGATGGTTCAGAGGTTAAAAGCACTGACTGCTCTAGCAGAGGACCTGGGTTCGGTTCCCAGAACCCAAATGGCAGCTAACAACCATGCATAACTCCAGTTCCAGGGGATCCGACGCCCTCTCTGACCCCTGTGGGCATTGTTCGACATCGGTGCACACACCTACATGCAGGCAATACACTCATACACATAGAATAAAAATAATAAAAATTTTTTTAAAAAAGAAAAACAGATCCAACACAAATATCTGGCTCCTTGGACTAGATGCACGTAGAACTTTGACAAAAATCTCAAGGGAAAAATGAGAAAAGGTAGAGGAGAGCGAGCAATCCGCAGAGAGAGCCAGATGATGCGCCCTGTGTTTGCCAATGTGCTGCCTCCTAGAAATAAAGATTCATTTTCTTCTTGCAACTAAGTTTTGGATGCTGTCCTCCATGAATAAGAATCATAATGATCTAATGCTCATAATTTCATTAAAATCTTCCAAGTATATGTTTTTCATAATCATTTGGAGGAAGAAAGGAACAGAAATCATTATGAGTCATGGTGCTAAAACAACTTAATCTTCTTGCTTCCAAAGAAAAAGCCTAATCCAAAATTTCCATTTTCCAAATGATGCTTTTTCCCTGACTTTTTCCTTCCCTGTCCTCTCTTCCCTGTCCTCCCTTCCACCCTGGAACACCCCCCACCACACACCATCACACCATCCCTCATCCCTCGAGGCACAGGGCCAAGAGGAATGTTGGTGGTAGCAGATGAGGCCCAAGCATGATGACCTACATACTACTCTTAGGTCGTGCTGGGAACTGGGGGATAAAGTAGAGGTAAATTAAAAGGCACTTACTGGTTCCCCAAAGCTATGTGGAAACTCCCACAAATCCCCTTGAACTCAATGGAGAAGAGGGGTTAATAAAAACATTCCCAAATCTTCCAGCTTTTGCTGACAATCCTTACAGGAAAACCCCCATGGATTTGTTTATCTGCATGAAATAAAAAAAAAATTCCATGGTAGCTAAACAGGACAGCTTTCCAGGGGCTGCAGAAATACTGGGTGCATTCAGTGTGAACCCACAGGAGACAGGCACTTTGCTCCCTAGTAGGTGGGCTGGCCAGTGAGCTCACTTTTGCCCACAGCCACACCCAGAAAACAAAAGGAAGGGCAGGAAATAGCTGTTTTATCACAAGGCATTAAGTAGGTCTAGAAAATCCCATCTCAGATTGACTAACCTGTGAAAACCTATATGACTGCATTGTGTTAAAAACATTTGCAATCATCACTTTCTCTTGTCATCTTATTAAGAATGCCATATGTGCTCCAATTTTGCTCTTCCTTATTAGATACACAGTCTGTCTCCCCCAGTTTGTTCTTGGAAAAATATAGAGAAGGTGCTGTACCTGGACCTTTGGCCTGAATTGAGCACCCTAACATCACACGGCTTCACAGTGTTCCCCATTACCTAGGGGAGCCAAAAAACAAAAGAAACCAAAATAAAACCAGGTCTTAGCTCACTGCCATTTTTTTCCAGTGACTACATTTCCAATTTCTGAACTAAGATTGCCATTTTGAGGGACTAACAACTGCTTTCTCACCTTCCTGTTTCTCTTGTTCCTCATAATATTTCTTATTTACCACCAGGTGGCAATGAATAAATACACCCAGGCAGGCAAACATTAGAAGCAGTCTACGAAAACAGCATAGCATTCCAAAGAAAGCTTTGATAGGAGAAGGCTCACTGAGACAGGCGGAATTAAAGTTCATTTGGAGCTGGTTTGTGGTAAAAGGACGCAGAAGCCTGGAGGATATCTCTTCATCAAACCATTGTAATGATCAACACTAGACAAGATCATGAATCTGGTCAAGCAATATGCATAAAGATATTTTGTGGGAGCTGGGAACCTAGCTCTGCTGATAGCATGCTTGCACCACATGCATGAAGCTCTAGGTTCGATCCCCAGCACTACAGAAACTGGGTAGCAGTGCTCACTTGTGACCCTAGACCTAAGGAGGTGGAAGCAGGAAGAGCAGAAGTTTAAGATCATCCTCAGGTATAACAAAGAGTTCCAGTCCAGCCTGGAATAGATGAGACTCTATCTTAAATGTTACAAATAAATAATTAAATAAAAATTTTAAAAGATATTTTGTGCATTGCTAAACTCTTTATATTCATTGACACGGCTGGCACAGTACAGAAAAGCCAGTGGACACAAAGCCAGAGAGATGGAATGCAAACCTTGTATGTTTTCTGTGCTTTCCCTTTCTGAAGGGGAACTCTCCCACCACACTCCTAGTCCAATGTACTTTTAAAAGTGCTTTTTCTTACATTTTTATTTATCCATTTGTTTGTGTATATGTGTGTGCACATATGCTCATAGGTAAAGGTGCCATGGCATATGGGTAGAGGTCAGAGGACTTGTGGGAATCCCTTCTTTCTTTTCCTCTTTCTTTAGAGCACACAGGTCCTGAGGATTGAACTCACATCATCAGGTTTCATAACAAGCACCATTACCCACCAAGCAATCTCACTGCCACTCCCCATGTATTTTATGGGTTTTTGTTTTGTTTTGTTTTGGTTTTTTGTTTGTTTGTTTGGGGGTGGGGTTTTTTTGTATTTTATGTTTTAAAAACTAGATTATGGGCCAACCATGGTGGCATACTCCCTTTATCCCAGCACTCAGGAGGCAGAGGCAGGCAGATCTCTGTGAGACCGAAACCAGCCTGGTCTACAATGGGAGTTGCAGGCCTCCTGGGGCTATGGGTAGATCGTGTCTAAAAAAAACCCAAAATTAGGACTTTGTACTAATACACTTCCCTCTGGTTTTAAATACCATCTAAGTATTATTTGTCTCTCCTCTCACTCCTCGTGCATCCTCCTTCCCTAGTTAAAGTACCTTCCTTTTTCTCATTTCCCCCTTAATAACACCTGTTTCCTGTGACCCCCCTCTCCTCCTCAAGCTCCTTCTCCTCCTTTACCCCCAAGGTTCCTTTCCATTTTCCCGGCTCCTGGAGTTACACCAGAATATATACTCACATAAAAGGGATTGATTGGTGCTATGATCTGCAAATGAGGGAGAACATACATCGGTCGCTTTTTTTGTGTGTTACTTCACTTAGTACAACAGTCTCTAGTTCCATCCATTTACCTGCAAATTCCATGACTGTGTTCTTCTTTACTACTGAGTGGAGCTCCATTGGGTAAATGTACCACATTTTCATTATTCATTCATCAGTTGAGGGGCATTTAGGTTGTTTCCATTTCTTAACTATTGTGAAAAGAGCAAACATGGTTGTGTAAGTATCTCTGTAGTAGGATAAGTCTGTTGGGTATATGCCAAGGAGTGGTATGACTGGATCATATGTTATTTTTAGTTTTTTAAGGGTTCTCCATACTGCTGGGCGTGGTGGGGTATGCCTTTAATCCCAGCACTCAGGAAGCAGAGGCAGGCAGATCTCTATGAGTTCAAGGCCAGCCTGGTCTACATAGTGAGTTCCAGCCCAGCTGGGGCTACAGGGAGAGCCTTTCTCAAAAAGACCAAAGAAAAAGTTTTCCATACTAATTTCCACCATGGTTGCATCAGTTTGCAATCCCACTAACAGTGGATGAGGGTTCCCCGGCCCCCAACATTTGGTGTCATTTCTTCTTTTAATCTTAACCATTCTGACTAGGGTTAGATAAAATCTTAAAGTAGTTTTGATTTGTATTTCCCTATTTCCCTAATTACTAAGGATGTTGAACACTTTTTAAGATGTTGCTTAGCCAAAACCACAGGAAAATGTATTAGTTCAAAGTCCTACTGAAAAATACACATGCAATAAATATACAAGTGTATGTGTATAGCTGAAGGCTCTATAACAAAAAACACATTGTCAGGCCAGAGAAACCTCCCTTTGAGTTATGTGTTAGGGTAGTCCAAGAGACTCCCAAAATAACACGGGTATGCCACAGCCTCTGATTCCCTCCCAGAACTTGAAGGTGAGCCCCTACTGCTTGAAGACAGGCCACACTTTGGGCACAAGACTTGGAGCAATGGAACTGGAATTGACCTGGGAGCCTCCTCCCTGAAGACCAGCTCTCATGCTATCAGAGGACACTATACAAGTTGTCAATAGAGAAAATCTATCAGTGGTCCTATCTAGCTACAAAGCTTTAAAAAACAACGACTGGCCCAGCAAACTATTACTATTGTTGCAGTAGTAGCACTTTTATTTTGGTGGCAATCCATAGCTATCTAATTGGAATTAAGGCCCACTCAATGGGAGGGAACTCATGTGTGCTACTATAAACATAGCCAGATACACATGGCTGGCGAGGTCATAGATCCTAGAGGAAAACCTACTTTTGCCACATCCCTAGGCTAACGTAATTTCTCACTTTATTCTAAATAAGCATCCTCATATTTACAAACAACTGTGCTTTTCATCCCTCACCAAAGCAGCAGATGGGGATGATTACAGAGTTCCAGAACGGGTCAAACTCAGAGAGTAAGAGTCTGTGAGATGCTTAACCCTAAGCGACACATCCTCAGTGCAATCTCTACCTGTAAGATGAATGCATCTCTCAACTCTCACCAGAGAAATTTCCCTATGCAGCAGATAGTGATTGACACAGAAACCCACAATTGTCTGTGTGCAGAGAACAGAGGCTACAGAGTGCTAATCCCTGAACAGGGCACCTATTTCAAACCTCTGCTTCTCAAGGCTCAGGAATCATTGCAGAAGAGGAGGCAGAAAGATTGTAAAAGTCAGAGGGGGTGGATGACCACAAGGAAACAGTCTTATAGACAGCTGGTCGGTTACTTATCTGAACTGACAGCAATGGTGACGGCATACACAAGTCCTATGGAAGCCCGAGCCAGACAAAATCCCAGCATAGACATAGGAAATTGGGTAAGAAATCCAGGAACTTCTGGCAATTGGAAGCTGGGAGTGTGAGACAGTGGATGTACCCACAATGAAGGACATTTGGGGGTATAAATTAGACTATATTGTCTATTATAAATATATATATATATATATAATAGAATATATACACACACACACATATATATATAAGAGTACAATAAATTGGGTAGTGGGTGGGGCTCCAGATGGCTCAGCAGTTAAGAGCACTGGCTGCTCTTGCAGAGACCTGGGTTTGAATCCCAGCACCCTCATGGTGGCTAACAAACCATCCATACCTCCAGTTCCAGGAGATTCAGCGCCCTCTTCTGACTTCCTCAAGCATTGCATGACACAGGTGTCCTTACATACATGCAGGCATAACACTCATACACATTAAAATAAATAAATAAATAAATAAATAAATAAATAAATAAATAAATAAATAATTAGACTGAGCAAGAAGTCATAGGGAGAGGTGCAGATGAGGGATCTAAATACCATCAAACTATATTGTATTACAAAAACTAAATAAGAAATAAATTAAAAGTAGATGCTATGTTTTGATAAGTGGATAGATTCCTGTCTCTAAGCATCCCTTTTTAATGTTTTGGAATCCACTTCCTCTTCCTTCATCTCTGGTTTCCTGAGCAGCTCCCCATTTAATAGCATTGCATCCGAAGCCTGGGACTAATCCTCAAAGTTCTCTGCCAGCTGCAGTTCCAGGATTCTGACTCTTTTCCGGTCACTGACTAGTAAACTTGATCTCTTTCCTTTTCATCAGTCTCTCTTGAATAAAGTCCAACTTACCACCTATCATAGTCTCTCTACTCTGCTATAGCAAAATACCTGAGAGTAGGTAATTTATAAAGAACATGAAGTTATTTCTGACAGTTCTGGATATAAGGAAGTGAAGAGAGTGGTGCCAGTGTCTGGAGGTTTTCTTACTGCATCATCCTAGGGCAGAAGGCAGATGGGCAAAGAGGACAAAAGGGGACAGAATCCACTATTACAGCATATGCACTAGCATGATAATGACAGTAATCTATTCATAAAGGCTGAGCCCTCATGACCTCTCACCTGTCGTTTCATGTCTCTAAGTCCCATCTTTCCATACTAACGCAGTGGGGATTAAGGTTCCTACACATGAACTTTCAGGGCAGGCATCCAAACCATAGCATTGCCTCTTCAAGAAATGCTTCCAGCCATTCACAATTTTCAGTATGCACAATCAAGGTATTTCATTAATCAAAAGTAACCTAACAACATTAGCTTCTGCCTACTTTGTTCCTACTCTGAACCTGACAATTGTCCAAGTCACCACATGCCCTCCAAAGGGGTGTCCCACAAAAGGTTACACTTCACAATGGAAATCATGCATTAAATCATGCGAGATGAGTCAGAATCACTGAGGAGCCCATTGGTAGAAGAAGGGGAGTTCCACACAGAGAAGAGCAGCTTCCCCAGAATGAGGCTGGATTCCTAGAGAAGGGAAGGAGGTCAGGGTTCTGGGTTTTCCAGCTAGAGCCAGCTCTGGGAGTCCCATAGACAGGAGAAAGGGAAAACGGAACAGAGAAAACTTATTCTGGAGAATTCCAACCTCATGCTCCGAAAGCTGAGGCCCCATAGTTGAAATGGCAGAGGCTTCATCTTCCCTGAGGACTTTCCTGACATGTGCATGGAAAGGTTCATAGAAGGATGCTACTTGGCTACTTTGTTTCAGACAAGAAATGTTTAAGGGCAGAGTAAAAAATAAAAGCCATCATTATTAAAGCATTTCTTCTAAATAAGGACAGTACCTCCTCCTAAGAGGTATTTAGGAAATTTATGTGGGTGTTTCTCATTATCACTATTTGAGGAACTGCTACTAGCACTTTATTGGTTGGGATCAAAATGCATCCCACACAATGAAGGACCTTCCCTGCTCCAGCAAGGACTTTGGGCTTCCTACCAGACATCTGTGTGGGTGAAAAACATCTGAGCTAAGAACTTAACTACACTAAATATAAACACAAAGTAATTTTTGTACAGTTCTAAGATGTAATGAGTAGTTTTCCAAGAATAGAACAACCAAATAAATTCAGAGGTTTGGGAATTTTGTTTGGTTTGAATCTTTACCATGAATTGTTGTTCATCTGAGAAAAATCAAGAGGTTGATGACAACCTCACCCACAGTGTTGAAGTCAGCAATACACCCCTAAATTTGCATATTTGGATCTTTATTATGCTCCTGAAGAAACATATTGGGGCAAACATCTGTCTGCTCCATGACGTTGCCTGCTGTCTGTATCCCTGTCATTTATAGATCAGAACAACGAATGTTACTTTATTAGAAATAGATCTTCTTTATATCTTTATGTTACCATAAAGACATTATTTTTATTTTCAGTCATACTTGAAACAAATTATATTATTTATTAATTCAATTTCAAAAGTGTATAGGGGTCATTCACCAACATTTTTATAGGAAAAGGGCTATTAATCATTTCACACTGCTATAACATAACAACTGAGGCAATATACTTGATAAAGAAAAGGAATTTTAAGTGGCTTACAGTCTTGCAGTTCCAAAGTCCAGTTCCAAAGGCCCTGATTGGTCTGACCTTATGAAGGTAGCAGATGGCGACACAGCACGGCAGGACTGTCTATAGGAGCAAGTGGCCAATGTCAAACCTCAGCAAAGAGAGAGAAGAGGATGGACAGCTGAGGTCCTGCAACCTCTTTTGAAGACACAACTGCAAAGCCCTTAGGACCTCCTACCAGGGCCTACCTCCACAACCTTCCGGTAGCACCACCCTGAGGACCAAGTCTTAACATACAGGCTTTTAGGGGACCTTGGCCATATTCACACCACAACGGAGGCACCAGCCCAGAGTTACTTGAAGCTAGTTACTTGGCCACTGTGAATTTCAGCATCCTTATTCATCAAATGAGCAAATGAGTGAACTACAGGAGTTCCTGAAAGATGAAACAGAAGCGTATATATGATGCTTAGGACAATTCTGGCTCAGAGGAGTCCAGCAAGAGAGTAACCCAGGCTGTCTCAGGGATCCCTGGAAAGTAATAGAGCATTACTAGGGAATGTTTTGCCACAGTTAAAAGAATTATCTAAACCTACATGATATATGGATGGGGGAAAGCTATAAAACCAATAGGGTGAAAAAAAAGGTAGCTATTTCAGAAAAATTCATATAGTGTATACAGTTGATTGTCCAATATATACATACAAAATATGGGTGGTTGAATCATTGCTATGATCATCACCTATTCATCACCCATCTCAGGGTCTTGGGACAACAAAAAGTACCCTCTCTCAGAAGCTCAAGGGGCTATCCTCAATGTTAACAACAACAGAAAAACAGGACACACCGTTGGGCAAGGCAGC